AAGGCTAGGTGTAGATCTTTCCTACCAGAAGATCAGGGGTGTGGCAGAAAGACAGCAGTAAGGAGGAGCCAAGGAGTAGCAGAAGAAAGGCTGCAGAAAGAGTCAGGAGCCCAGAGGAGGGGGACAAAGGAGGTGAGGGGGAGATTGATGTTTGAAATTTGAGCAGGTTGTTAGCTCGTCAAAAGCTGAGATGTGTATGACTGTAGCTCACCAAAAGCTGAGGTGTCTACGACTGTAGACCTCCGATAGCTGAAACGGGCTCAGTTTGCATCATGCTGTGCATCACTTTCAGCGATTCTGGTTCGAATCCTGAAGTACACTTTCCTGAAATTGTTGTCCTTTGGGTAGTTATTGGTGTGTTTGTTTTGGGGTTTTTGATTGTTCTTGTGTGTGTTTCTGTGTGCTTGTGTGTGTTTGTGTGTGTTTGTGTGTGTTTGTGTGTGTTTTTGTGTGTTCATCTCTCCAAATGCGTCTACAGCATGTGTGTCAGGAGAAAGTATATTATGACCTCATCACATTACGTTTGGAAATAGCTGAAGAACAGGCAAACCAAATATGAAAACCATAGAAACCTAGACATTTTCAGACAGTAAATAAATGTACACAGGGGGTAATTGAGTTCATTTGTGAAGAAGTTGAAAGGCGTTGAAAGGCTGAAATTTTTCCGTCGCTACGCGGATTCGAACCCGGGATCTTTAAATGAGAGGCAAACACCTTAACCTCTAGGCCTCTAGGACACGAGAACCCCCGTAATAGTTAGGTCCGTCGCTGTCGTAGACTGGAGACTCGAGATTTATTCCTGAGGGAGGCATGCCAGTTTGTCAGAGGCCCGCCCTGCCTCGACTGTGCCCTGCAAGATGGAAGTTATCACTGACACTCTCAAAAAGAGCAAATGAACGATTGATTGATAGTTTGAATTGAATTTTATTTTTCACTTGTTTTTAATGAAAGAATACTCATTGTTGAAATTTTACTGAGTAATTTGCGTTGATTTGCATACAAAAGGGAAGAAATATTGAACAACACAAACTGAATTGACATTTTAGAGGGACTATCTCTACACCACCAATTTGAAGATGGAGAATAAAAAAATATTTACAACTACGGTGTTAAAGTACAGTAATCATGACAAACTGGACCTGTGACAAACTGGGCAGTCCCCATTCCCGAGAGGTGAGAATTTTTATCTCGTATCTCGGTCTTTTGGCTGACACGCTGTATCCCTCTCTTTCCGGGTCGGAATTCCGCCTCCTAACTGACCTAAATTGAGTCGATAAGGGGGCGTAAAACATGTACTTTAGAAAGAAGTTTTTTGTGTTTTTTTAAAGACACGAGTGTGTGGTTGGCGGATGCTCTGATGTGGTTTGCTCCTTCATTCCTATCAAACATCTACCGTCCTTATCTCTCCTCATCCCCCCGGTGCAGTGCCACTGACTGTAGTGTCTTTAGGCCATTCCGAAAGGGGGGGGGAGGGTGACATTTCTCGTTAAAGCACTGTAGAATTATAAATGGGCTGATTCATGTCACGCTCATAACTGTGCCTGATCTACAACAGGGAACTGTTGCTTTTTCTTTCCTAATCCTTACTATCGTCATTTTCCTCAACTTCTTTTGTATGTTTATCACACTCTTGTGACCTGCTATTTCCGGGGTGCCTTGATAGTTGAAGCAAACTTTGTGCTGTTGAAGCTAGAGAGGTGAGCAGAATAAGTCTGATTCCCTCTAAAAACTTCTCTGTTGACACCCACCCCTTGGCGCTCATATGACAGTATGCAGTTGCGAGCGCCGTAAAACCCACTACTAT